GGGCTGTCCGGGCTGTTGTCCGGGCTATCCGGGCTGTCCGGGTTGTGGGGGGTCCGAAGTGACACCTTTTGGGGGGTCCGAAGCGACCCTGTTTCCGAGGGAGAAGGCTGGGGAGCTGTTCGGAAACGAATTCGGCCCGGCTTTTCGATCGTGCGGCGTCCTTGTCTGCGCCGCTGTTCAGGAGCGTCACCAGAATCTCTGTGTCCCCGAGCGCGGCAGCAAACATCAAAGGTGTCCTGCCTCAGCCACGTCTCAACTAACCCCTGGAGAAGATGGGCAAAGACGCATTGCTGCTTTGCCGGCCCTGCACAAAGCCGCATCCTTCCAGAATCACCTTCGACAAGCGCGAAGCCTCCAATATCCACATGCCAGGTCCCTTAAAGATTGGAAACACGAAGAGCACTGAGTAAAAACCAAAAGGATGATCTTATTCGCGATTGTAGGATCCTTCCAAAAAGTGCGCTGAGACCGGCCTGTTCGGCCACGTAGGTAGTGGAGCGGATGGGCTTGCAGACTTTTGCTTGGTCATTGGTCGGGTGACATGCGGGGGGTAGCGGCATCGAGCCTGCTCCTAACGCTGCTAACACCCTTCCAGTCGGAAGAAACCTCCGAGGAGGCGGCCGCACTCATCTTGGACCTCAAGGCCGTGTGAAGCCTCAGTGCGGTGCATGAGGCTGGCGGTCGGGATCAGGGCTGCGGTCGCTTGCAGGTTTGGCGATGGCAGCCGAGAAGGGCGCCGCCACGATCGCGATGGCAGACGGGTCGAACACGTACATACCGGACTTCCTTCGTCAAGTTTCCAGGACTGGACTGGGCCGCTCCAGCACGAGGCGAAGCTGAAGCCCGAGCAAGAGCGACAACCGGATGGCCAAGATACCCGCGATCTGCACGCAGCAGAAGACCTCAAGGGAGGAAACCATCGCTCGAGGCCCGAAGGGTGCCGCGGTGATCTTTTAAGGGCATGGCAAGGTTTAGGAGCAGAAGGCCGCTAAACTTCTGAAAGTTTAGCATCGCCATGACGGCCAGGACCTGGTTCGGCAGACTTACCGGCAAGACGGACAACTGAGGTTGCAGCTGAAAATGCACGTCGCGATGGCTCTTATGGCTCTTTCAATGTGTTTACCCTCGCAGAATTGCATGGTTTCTCTGTGCGTTACTCGGCCCACTTCTGCTGAATTGACCCAGTATACACCGTGGGTTAGAGCCCAGGCTAGGTGCACGGCCGCCTGTGGCACATCCTCGCCAATCGCAGTCCCTGGGCTGTGCATGCCAGCAGCTCTTCAGTTCGCAATGTGCGAGCGGCTGGGAACCAGACAGAGCCGTGCTGGAGTGCTCTGCTGCGACCAGACCTGGATGTACTCAGCCCGAGCCTGCCAGCCATGATCATGATCAAATCCTGCTCATGCCTGCAGCATGCCGCTGCAAACTGCCACGTGCAGAACGCGTGCAGCACTGAGAATTGAAGTTGCCAATGCAGCAACCGCTTCTTCCACTCAGCTCGTCCATTCGCTTCTCCAGTGGCATTTGCAATTCTCCTATAACTGGCAGACAGGGTGCATCTGGTGGCCTCATTGTGGCTGTGAAATGCCTGAGTACGTCTTCATGGCGGATTGCCGTAATGGGTACAGCACAGCACGAATCTCGCATGTGAAGAGAGGACAGGTAAAGCGCTGCGAAGGTTGGAGAAGGCATTCTATCAGTATGAAGAGTTTAACCCGCTCGGATTCGAGACGGAATCTAAAGCCCTCTAGAGACTCAAAACGGACATCCGACCCCAGGGCTGTGCCGAGTCACCCTCACGAACAGCTACGCAAGCCAGCTTGGACCGGATGGCCTGCAGGCGGACACCCAGCGCGGGCAGGAACTCCTTAGCAACCTCCATCCTGCAGGAAGAGCGGAGAAAGCCGGACCCTTTCGGACCAAAGGCCAACGAGAGCTTCCAAGATGCGCTCCGGAGCAGAATGCCCAACCGTTTTGTAGCATTCTGGCTGCCCTGGGTCTCAGAGCAAGCGGGTCCTGCTCGCGCCGTCGCAGAACCTCAGACCGGTTGCAGCAGTGACAAGCGAAGCCTCGCATCCGAAGAGAAGCTCTCGCCGAAGCTTCGCTGGCGACCTGCCTGCCCCCACCTAGGCCCGACCTAAGCTCAACCTGTTACAAGTATTGGGCTAACACAGGAAGCTTTTAAAATTGAAACCAATTTTGAGGCACTGCTTGAGCTCAGCCGCAGGAACGGCCCTGGCGTGAACAGTGTCACCAGGCTGCAGACTCCGATCCAAAAGCCTCTGCGGAGCGCAGGGCAACGCACAGGCTCTCGATAGCCAAGGAATCCAGGTTCCACGTGGAAACGTATGCAAACATGCATGCCTCGACGAGTGCACGTGAGGTATGCTTGGGGCGCTGCGTACTCGCTGCTGGTTAGTTTTAGAAATACCTGGAGTCGTAGTGCCTCGCATGTGTCTATGTGTTTTCAACTTCGTATTGGCATTTATTCACATTCCGACCCCTTAGCCTCTCACTACCACGGATACAAAGTGCTCAAAGTGCACGCAACACGTCCCTGCAAACAGACAGGCATAGACGCAGACGAGCCTGCGAGGTGATATCTAGACACGTACATTCTATTTTCGCATATAAAATGTACTACCAATACAAACCCCCAGACACACACACAGACACAAAACATGACACTGCACTCTAGTAGTGGGCAGAGCTTGTTGATCCGCGTGCGGGCATACCCATACCCAGGGACACCTCACAAAACAAAACATGACACGGCACAGGTACAGTAGGCGGAATTTGCCGGCATGTGGGCGTACCACATATGCTAATAAAACGCTGGCTAACGCGGATCTTGCACCTCGCCGCTGACAGCAAGTAACGTTTCCAAAGAATTGCCAGAAGAGCTCAAGGCAAACGACTCGCATGTCTCTATCCGTACACATACTGTGCAACTGCTTGGGAATGCTATGGAATATTCAAGTCTACAACCCCACCAGTAATTGCAATCCCAGCATAGAACAGGTCGGTCACGCAGCCAAGAGCATCACTGCAGCACCCGGCCCCTTCGTCGAGTTCCAGAGTCTTCCGCACAGGCGGCCAACTGCAACACGGAAGCCGTAAATATGCAGTCCTCCCAAGGCGGTCTGGGTCCGGCGAGGCATAGACACTCTGCGGATTTCGGGAGCAGAGGAAGTGAAGATGGACGTGGCCCCTCAGCAACGACAGGCTTCAGGCTCCCTGCCCCCGCAGCTGCATCCTTGAGCAGATCCACCCTGGGTCCCAGAATGGGAACGATCTCAGCGACAGGCAGAGGTGAGCGTGTTCCATATCTGCTCCACAAATCTGCGTGCAGACTGCTCACATGGATAACTCCCCAATACAACATCAGTCTTCACTTCGGTTCGCTTCCACGAGCTCCGGGCAGACATGAGCATTGGCATCACGGGGCTTGGCACCTTCCGGCCAATCCACGCAGCCTCCAGAGAGAGGGCAGGGGTTTAAGGCAGTTTGCAGTTGCTCGCACGGTTGTCGCGGAAGCTGGCTTCTCTAACACTCAGTCAGTGGAGCAGGTGCTCAGCAGAGAGGAGGCCCTGAAGTACACCGGAGCACGGGGATCCTGAATACGCCGCCTCTGCTCAAGAATCCGCGGGGCAGCATTTCCAGGGCCTGAATGGCGCGGCCAAGGTAGCCCAGGACGTCCACTGCCAGCACGGCCTGTAGGAGCTCTTGGACGCCAGAGCTGCAGGGGTTCGGTTGCACAAGGCGCTTTCCCTCAAGAAAAGACCTGCACAGCCGTGTCTCTGAGAGGCTGGCGACCAGCCACAGACCAATGGCCTCCCAGACAATGCCCGCGCTTCCTCGCAAAGCCCGAGGATTCATGTGGACGCGGAAGCGGAGTCTTTTGAATGGTTGGGTGACTGGCAGCGCTCTTGTAGGCGAGGCTCCGAGCATCAGGTTGTTCACCATGCACCACGACATCAGGACCTTGGCGAGCGTGGTTGCAGGGGCCGTTCCCGGATGGCCTGCATAGCGGACGGCCTGTAGGCCAACACTCTGTTCGAGGCGGGTGCTCGGCCCTGTTACCTAGACCACTTTCACGCTCGCCCACATCGTCTTCGAGCTTCGGCTCGCAAGTAGGCACATCGTGACAAGTGCTTCGCCGACTTCCCAAAGGACGTAGCAAATGTCCGGCCGCAGCTGTGCCGCGGCTCATCCCTGCTTTCTTGTAAACAACACCACAATTCACCGGTCGTTTCGGCGCACCGGCTTCGAAAACTCGCTTCAACAGTTCTGCCTTTCTTCAGCTCGCACAGTGGTGCAGCAAAGGCAAGCCTGGCCAACTCCGAAGTTTCCGAAAGTGCTCGGAATCTTCAACGCTCCCCCCAAGGCAGGAAGGTTTGTTGAAATTCACCGGTTCCGCTGGTGAGACCGAGGAAGACTTGCAGCAGAGCACGCGTCCCGGCCGATTCCATAATGCCTACAACGAACGCAAGCATCATCATGAGCATTCCTGGCACTCTCTGCACGAACATGAGCAGCAAGTTTCGGATTGCCGGCAGCTTCCAGCCAGAAGCTGCACACATCACACGAAGAGAGTCGATGGGGAAGATTCACTGGTCTTGCACTCCCGCAGGGGCCAGTCGGGGGCGTCGCAGGGCATTTCCTCGACAGATTACCAGAAGGTTGGACTGTATGACAATGGCACGCAGGAACTTCGCGAGCAGAAATAAATCTGGAGGGCTGTTCAGAGCTTCCCTTCGGACTCTTGCTCCTGCTGTTGGGCTCTAGCTCCCCTGTTGGCACTGACGCCCCGGCCAAGAGGAATCCGTTGTGCAGGACATAGTAAACCTCCGGAGGCCAGTGGGGGCATGTGCCAAGGCAGAGAGATGAGTTCAGACTCTGAAAGCACTCTTATGAGACCGCATCGCGAGATAGGATTTGGCAGGGCATGCGAACCCAGCATGAACCAGTCCAAGGCCCCGTGCCAGCAGCATGGCGGATTTTCCGAGCCCCAGGGAGAGCTCATACTCGTAGAAGCCAGCTAGTATGCCTGAGGGGCGGCGGCATGCAGCAGGCAGAAGAACTGAGTCCCAGCGGCGGAATCGCAGTCCGGAAACCTCGCCGTGTGCTTTGATTACGACTGGAATGGACTTCTGGTCCAACCGCACCAACCTACCCGAGAATCACGAGAGTCTCTGCCCCCTCGGCGGAGCCTGCACACTCTTCCTCGGGCGCTTTCAGCATTGGCCTGCAAGCATGGCGAGATTTCGAAGCTTGCGAACTGCGTTGCAAACTATGGCGGTCGGATGCTCTTCACGGTGAGGCAAACTTCTGCGACGTCGAATGCAGCTACATGCCGCATGCCCAATGCCACGGCTTCAGCCTGCGACTCGTTGGAAGATGTTGGAAGCAGGCCGACGCGGGCAAGAGAGGCTCTGTGCTTTACCCTTCACGTGTGCCGCGCCGAGGTGGCTGTGCTGGTTCGGTTTGCTGAAGCATGGACAACTATACCAGGAGGCGTCACCCTTTATAGCAAATTGAATCCCTCCTCGTCGTCGCCCCTCCTCCTGCTCCTACTCATCATCACAGTGTTCGACTCACCCTCCTCTGCTATCCATATCCCTGCTACTCCGCTCAAGCGGCGCTGACTATATCGCTGCGACTTGGAACGTGCCCTGCCTGGTCTCGGCGACTGTTAGCACAGAGGCGTTCCTTCTTGAAGCGACAAGTTTCTTCGACGCCGTCCTCGCGACGCTCTCCGTGCTTTGGGACTGTGGGTGCCTGTGTCATCTTCGGGGAGTGCATGGGCTCCGAGAGCTTTGACCGATCCTGCATGCAAGAGCCCCCAGCTCAGGTTTAGAAATGGTTTACAGTAGATGCCATCAGAAAAATCCGAAGCCCATTGCGCAACTCCTAAATCCGAGATGTCTCCAACTTTCAGAGCCCAGCTTTTCAGACCGAAAGATTCGGACCCCTGAAACTCTGCAGACCTCAAATCGTGCGTCCTTTGGGCCACGCAGTTCCCGACGGCAGCGAAGAACTGGGCCATGGCCACAGCCACTCCTGAGAACATGATCCCAGCCAGAGCTGTCTGGGTGGGGGGATGCTCGCTACGACCTGGTCGAAAGGAGTTTGGCCTTGCCTTCGTGGCTTAGCTTCATCAACTTAGCAACGGCTCTCGGTTCCTCTGGAATCTTTGAAACTGCCAAAAAAGAATCGCAGCCTTCCCGCAAAAGCGACGTCAATTCTGTAAGAGATTTTCTGGTTGGACGGAGGTTCAAAAACAGGTCACGAGCCGAGGAGGCAAAGGAAGCCGGGCACCCGGGCCGATGAGGAGCAGGGCACCCAGGGCGGCATCCCGCCAGCGCTTGCCCATCATCTCCTCCTCCAGGTCGGACTCGGCCGTGGGCAGAATCTCCTCGAAGCCCGAGCCAGGGCTGAGGAGAAGGAATGGAGAGCTGCCCTAAACCCTAAACTAACCCCCAAACCTATGGAAAAGAAAAGGGAAGGCGAGGACATCTCATTTCTTGAGGCCGAGCTCTTTTGGAGGCCGCCAACGCCTTTGCACCACTCCTCAAGCTCCTCTAGACCCACAGACTCTAGGCGCTCGGAGGTGCCATGAGGCACTGCCATGCTTCAGGATGCGTTTCAACATATTGAAACCAAATCTTGTAGTTCGTCTGACGGCCTTTCGGCACCCTCGCCCAGCCGCTAGTTGCTACGGCTCTCCACTCTTACGGTTACCAGAGCCCCAGAGCACCTTCTCCTGCAATGGCTGCCAGAAGGGCACGGCCCTCATGAAGCGCTCCATCACAACCAGCCTCGCAGGAGCTTTCGGGAATCGTCTTTAGGGTTTGGGGGTTGGAAGAGTTTCGGGGCTTATAGGGTTTATAGGGGTTCAGGGGTTTATAGGGGTTCAGGGGTTTATAGGGGTTCAGGGGTTTATAGGGGTTCAAGGGTTTATAGGGGTTCAGGGGAATTTAGGGGTTCTCAGGGGTTTAGGGGTTTATAGGGGTTGAGGGGTTTAGGGGTTTATAGGGGTTCAGGGGTTTATAGGGGTTCAGGGGTTCAGGGTAAGAGTCTAAAAGTCCAAAGAAGTCCTAGCCCCATACGAAAGGCTGCGACACGCTCCTGCCTGGGTGTGAAACAACTGATACATGGCTTCATATAGAGCACCTCTCGAAATCACAGGCTTCTGATAGCGACTGTCGTGCGAAGATTCCTCGAGTTGATTCCTCGAGCAAAAACGATTCGAGTTGATGCGCGAAGAAAAGACGAACGTCGACTACGAGAAGGCAAATATCGACTTCCGAAGAGAAAACTTCTTGTCGAGTGCATTCCCAAAAATACGACTTTTCGAGTCGCTTCCCGAAAAAACGACAATTTGTCGAGTGGAGACCTGAAAAGAACACGTCAATCCCAATGCCTGGAGTCTGGGGTTTGGGCTCCTTGAAGTTTTGCCTATTGCGTCCATTACGGCAACCACCCTCCAGAGCTGCTTAGCATCATGTCCAAAACTGTGCTTGGCTACGGAACTGGTTGCCAGCGAAGCGGTGACAACTGCATGAAAATGACACACGGAAAAACGTTTACGAATACTGATTTTGACGGCTCCACACCTCCTGCGATCTACACCGGACACATAGAGTCTGTCCCGCTTCACGCGTGCCAGATGCTCGATTTCCTACTCTCCCAGGCCACAAACGCTGAAACAATCCCCCGCACAACTCACACCAAGAGGAATGTCAATCGGCTTGCCTAGTACCATTCCTGAAGCCTCTAAGCAAAGCTCCGAAGCCGAAGAACAGGCCCGTCATGTCCCGCCTTTGTCGCACCACATTGGGCCTCACAGCTTTCAAGAGCTTCGGGGCCCCTCGGGAGGTAGTTTTTCATTTTGGGGATCGTGCACAAGACAGACGAACCCTAAACCCTAATCCCCTAAACCCTAAATTAAACCTTATCCCCTAAACCCTAAACCCGAATCTTCAAACCCCTGAACCCCTAAACCTTAATCCCCTAATCCTAATCCCCTAATCCCTAAACCCTAATCCTTAACTTATAACCCTAAACCCGAATCCCCTAAACCTTGCAGCCTTACAAGGGTTCTGGCCGCAGGGTTGGGGTTCGCCCTGGAGGAGCGCCAAAGCGCATTCCCGACTTTGCCAGTGTCTTTGGAGCTGTGAGGTGAGCTCATTGGAGGTTTCTTTCTTGAGAACTCATTAGGTTTTTTTAGAACTCATGAGGGTTTAGAGTTTAGGGTGTAGGGTTTAGGGTGTAGGGTTCAGGGTTTAGGGTGGAGAGTTTAGAGCTTAGGGTTTAGAGTTTAGGGTGCATTCTTTCGACCCAGGGAGTCGAGCCATTCAGGGTTCTTGCTCTGCAATGCTCCTTTTTTCAGAGAAGTTCGCGAATTCCGCGAACCCAGCGTCCGCGGTTTGGGATTTTGGGAAGAGCAGGGCGGAAGACCGCACGCTCTTGCGGTGAATTTCATGCGGATTCAGCTTCAAAGTTGTACAGATCTGGCAAGCCTCATACACACACACACACATACCTCCATATATATATATACACACACATACACATACACATACATATACATATACATATACATATACATATACATATACATATACATATACATATACATATCTACATATACAATATACATATGCATACATATGGTCACGCGCTCCGTGCCCGCCCTTCCTCCCCCCGCTCATGGTCCAGGATGCCCTCGGGGTTTTGGGGTTTAGGGTTTAGCTTAGGCTTTTGAGTTTTGGGTTTAGGGTAAAAAGGTATAAGGCTTCGAGTCGACAAGGGCTTAGGGAGGGTTTGGGGTGTAGCTTCGTTAGGGTTGACGGATTATGTTCTGCTTTAGCCTTAGAGCCTGCATTTAGGCGGGGTTTAGGATTGGCGGTAGGCTTTTGAGTACAGGTTAGGAGCACGCGCTACATTTTAGGGTTTATGGCTTGCGTAAGGCTAGCGTGTGACCCCTGGCCGCCCCCCAGCAGCACCCCACCCTCCAGCTGCAGCTCCAACGGGGATACACACATACACACACACACACACACACGCACACACACACACACACACCTAGCTGCTTGTGGCTCGAATATGAAGGGCTCGGGGTTGCAATGATACAAAGCGGGAGCTAAACGAACGTGTAGACGGAGGAGCGGAGTGCTGAAATCTTAGCTGCATTCATGGGATCGCCTCTTGAGCATTGGAAGTGCTCGCTGCTGGGGGCCAGGCGATGGCAGAGCAGAAGTCACGGCATCGAGGCCGGGGAAGGGCAGCCCACCCCTGTGCGGCTGAAGGTGAGCAGCCGTGCATCAAGTGAAACAGCAAGTGTAGTAACAGCAGCACGCCAGAGCAAACCACAACAAGAAGGCATCTACAGATGACGTCACCCCCGGGGACGGGGCAGTCGAGATGTTGGACAAGTTTTCACCTTCACTGCCGCAAGGCGCCGGGCCTGGCGCACGAGCGAGGGCAGAGACAAAAAGGCATGAGAAAGCATCTAAGCCAGCATTCGATAGAAAGAGCTCATACCCTGGCTGAGTGTTCCTCTTCTCCAAGCACTGTGCTACCATGGTCGACGGTGTTCCCCTGTGGCATTGTTTTTTGGCTGTCGTGCGAAGAATAACCATATTCGCGGCAAAAGGCATTACTCTGGTAGACGTGGTCGTCGTAGAAGGTGCAGCAGCAGCAGCAGCCGCAGCCGCAGCAGCAGCAGCAGCAGCAGCAGCCGCAGCCGTGGGAGCAGGAGCAGTAGGAGTAGGAGAAGGAGGAGTAGGAGGAGTAGGAGGAGGAGGAGGAGTAGCAGCAGCAGTATGACAGCAGCAGTATAAGTAGAAGTAGCAGCAGGAGCAGCAGGAGCGGGAGCAGAAGCAGGAGCAGGAGCAGGAGCAGGAGCTGGAGCAGGAGCTGGAGCAGGAGCTGGAGCTGGAGCAGCAGTAGTATCAGTAACAGTAACAGTCACAGTAACGGTAACAGTAGCAGCAGGAGCAGCAGCAGCAGCAGCAACAGTAGCAGCAGCCGAAGCCGCAGTCGTAGTAGTCGTCGTCGCAGTTGTGGTCGTTGTCGTCGTCATCGTAGTCGTCGTCGTAGTCGTCGTCGAAATTATAGTAGTGCGTATAAGTAGTAGCAAAAACAATCAAGACCATGACAAGCACATTGCTGATATGACTCTATTCTCAATAAAGTTCTTTTCGCATGTGCTGCCAGTCTGCAGCTCCTGAAACGGCCCAGGGCTCCTCGAAGTCGTGCGTTTGCAGCTGCCACAATGGTAGCACGATGGCGAGACCTCGGCGAACCCATTGCTTTACCTCTGCGCAGATGAACATCACTAGTCACTAGTCGCATCCCTATGGCCTGGTCCTTAGCTGTCCGTTGGTGTGTTCACCTGGACTTTTGCTTGGATGCTGCGGTCCTACAAGAATGGCCTCCGACTGAAGTGCATCCAAAGCAGTCTTATCCCCAACGGGCTATCCCAAGAGAGCGACTTGGCTGGGAAGCCCTGCAACCGCCATACCCACAAAACAGGCTGGGCAGTGATGAAACTTGAGCGAGCTGAAGGATACTTCCTCTCAGAAGTCATGAACACTCCAAACCCTGAACCCTGAACCCTCAACTAAACCTCAATGTGAAGACAAGGGAAAACCCTTTTTGTGCAATCCCCCCTCGGGGCTCCGACTCGCCGCCTCGGCTCGGAGAGGTCGAAGGAGGGTTTCGGGTTATAGGGGTTTAGGGTTTAGGGTTTAGGGCTATAAGGGGTTCGGTTAGGGTTTAGGGTTGTAAGGGATTAGGGGTTTAGGGAATAGGGTTTAGAGGGGTTGGATGGCAGGTTGACAACACGTCTTCAACTTTCACGTCGGGGAGCTGGATTCCCCGGGTCGGATGATCCAGACCTTCACACCCTCGCACAGATCCCAGCAGCCAAACCCCCTTGCAGCGAAAGCCCTTAACAAAACCAGACCCGTACTTGGCTAAGCTGCACTTCTCACACGCTGAGATGAACATATGCGTTGACCCCCGAGATGCCTTGATCACCCAAATCCCATAAGATTGTTGCTTACACCTTTTCTCAGCACTTGAGGATCGAACACTGCCGAACCCATGCGAAACATTCCACACATGGCACCGACTTGCTCAATTGGCGTGACTAAGAAGCCCTCCGATCCCAGGAGAATCCGAGGCATCACCGGGCACCGAGCCAGGCTCACCACGCGACCGAGCGCCATCAGAGCCTGCAACGAGCCGGAGCTCCCGCAAGGAATTGGCTGGAAGAAAATAACTTTCCTTCGAGTGTTGACCACGGTCAACATGGATCATCTCAGATGGAAGCCTCGAACGGGTACCTCATAACCATCTCGGGCATTTTTCGCAAAAAAGGACAGAAAAAGCACGAAAGGGCAGAATACCGCTGCTGTTGTTGCTGCTGTGCTGCAGCTGCTGGCAGTCTTGGTAGCGGGAGTCTTGGTGGAAATATTGCCGGTGGATCTGCTGCTGCTGGTGTTGCTGGCGGCGGGGGTTGGCGGCCGTCACGGAAGCATCTGGGCATTTGGCTTGGTGGAACCAGGTCAGTCGGCCAAGCTGAGTGCCGTAGTCGTTAGATACTTCGGAAAGCCTTGCATCCCTTCGTTGCGCAAGCCAAGATGGGCCTGATCTATCTATCTAGTTCATGCTTCAAGACGCGGCGGAGGAGGAGGTGGAGGCGGTGGCACCGGTGCTGGTGGTGACGGTAATGAAGACAGTGAGCGTGATGGAGAATCATCAAGTTCTTCTTCTTCATCATGACAATTAGACTCAGCA